AAAAAACACCGTCCTCGTGGTAGACCGGTGGACCTCCTCTTTTGACGTCACATCTAGCAGCTGGCGCTGTTACCGCTGTTACTTGTGTCGCTGTTCTTGCCCTACTTCATTTTTTGGCAACACAGGTTCTGGTTCTCAGAAACAAGAAGCTACTAGGAACAAGTGCATTGCTTCTAGGAGCAAGTGCCTTACTAGTAACAGGTTCTCGTTCTCCTTCTTTTGCGCCGATTCAGGTCTTTGAGAGATGATGCCCGGCCCGGTCGGGTGGCGCGCAACTACCGCCCTGAGCAGCCACTTGGCGCTCCCCGCTCGGTGTGCTCCGCTCTTAGCGGTCATGGGTGGGGCTCACTCGGACGCCCATCGCGACGTTCCGTAGGTCCAGCCATCGCTCAGCATGCCCGCGGGTTGCAAACTTGTTTGTCAAGAGGCCTTCCCGTCGGCCGGGCAATAGATGGGGCAGTTCTTGCGCGTAATGTGTGAAGCAGAAGCAGTATCAAGCAGTATCAAGCAGTAGATGCTGAAATAGAGCAATTAGTAGCGAACATCGCCTTCGCTTTGAGGATGGCGTATTGCCAAAAGCTGTTGATGCCCGTGCACAGCGAATGGATGGAGTCGGTGTATGTCCCTCCGCCCCACGGATGCGCCAAGGGCCAAGAGCCCGGCTACACACGGAAAGTGAAGAAGAAGGACAGGGCGGGACGGGACGGGACCGGATTGATGCGGACAGAGGCGGTACGGATGGAGTACGGTACGGGGTACGATATGATAAGGTTTTTTGAACTTCTGCGTCTTCAATGCAAAGAAGTTCATGTGGACATATGGTGTGTCTTCGATTGATGGTGTGTTTTCGAGGAAGGGACATGTGGGTAGTGTCTCCAGTTTTCTCCAAGTTTGATTGGGAAAGATGAGCAAAGTGTTTAAGGATCCATGTTTTGCAATTGTTGGCCGTACATCCCGTCCGTCTCCCAGCCACCTTTCCCCCCCTCCACCTCTCCCTCACTTAAGTCACTTGAGAGTTGTTTTCTCAGCTATTAGAAACAAGAAGCTACTAGGAGCAAGTGCATCGCTTCTAGTAACAAGTGCCTTACTAGTAGTAACAAGAAGCTATTAGAAACAAGACTAGGAACAAGTGCATCACTTCTAGTAACAAGTGCCTTACTAGTAGTAACAAGAAGCTATTAGAAACAAGAATCTACTAGGAGCAAGTGCATCGCTTCTAGTAACAAGTGCCTTACTAGTAGTATCAAGAAGCTATTAGAAACAAGACTAGGAACAAGTGCATCGCTTCTAGTAACAAGTGCCTTACTAGTAGTAACAAGAAGCTATTAGAAACAAGAATCTACTAGGAACAAGTGCATCGCTTCTAGTAACAAGTGCCTTACTACTAGTAACAAGAAGCGATTGGAAACAAAAACAAGAAGCTACTAGGAACAAGTGCATCGCTTCTAGTAACAAGTGCCTTACTAGTAGTAACAAGAAGCTATTAGAAACCCAAGTCTACTAGGAACAAGTGCATCGCTTCTAGTAACAAGTGCCTTACTAGAAACAAGACTAGGAACAAGTGCATCGCTTCTAGTAACAAGTGCCTTACTAGTAGTATCAAGAAGCTTTTAGAAACAAGACTAGGAACAAGTGCATCGCTTCTAGTAACAAGTGCCTTACTAGTAGTAACAAGAAGGTATTAGAAACAAGAATCTACTAGGAACAAGTGCATCGCTTCTAGTAACAAGTGCCATACTAGTAGTATCAAGAAGCTATTAGAAACAAGACTAGGAACAAGTGCATCGCTTCTAGTAACAAGTGCCTTACTAGTAGTAACAAGAAGCTATTAGAAACAAGAAGCTGTTAGTAACAAGTGCATCGCTTCTAGTAACAAGTGCCTTACTAGTAGAAACAATGTTTGCTAGTAGTAGAGTCTAATCCATTGCATTCTTCCGTCTACGGACCGGGCTGATAGCCCCAACTGGCAACTTGTTGTGTAGCCCTTGATTTTCCCCAGCGCTCTCCACCATTGCGCCAGAAAGAACCACACCAGCCAAGTGAAAGCTACTACACAAAACTACAAGAGTTGACTACGGAAAGGGTTTCTACTAGCTTCTTGGTACTACTAGTAAGGCACTTGTTCCTAGTAGCTTCTTGTTTCTAATAGCAAACATTGGTACTAATAGTAAGGCACTTGTTACTAGTAGCGATGCCAGGAGCCCCTAGTAGCGTCCTTGATCCTAGTAGTCAGCCGCTCGATGTGAGAGGAGAAGGATCGAGCCGCTTCTTTGCGGGTCTTTTCGCAATGCAAACGTTTGGAGATCGCGTATGACTTCATCGAGACCTACGAACAGACGGTGCGGACCCAATACACCGCCATCGTGCGGGCGCGCCCAGAGACTTAGAGTTGCTAGCTGTTTCTAATGGCTTCTTGTTACTACTAGTAAGGCACTTGTTACTAGAAGCGATGCACTTGTTCCTAGTAGCTTCTTGTTTCTGTTTCCAATAGCTTCTTGTTCTACTAGTAAGGCACTTGTTACTAGAAGCGATGCACTTGTTCCTTGTAGCTTCTTGTTTGCAAAAAACTGCAGTTTGAGCAGAGCATATTTATTCCACCTGCCCCTGGGAAGTAGCAACAGTCGCAATCTGAAGGATAGCTTCATTCCGTCTCCAGGCTCCTTTCATGTATGGCATGTCACAGCTCGAGCTGAGCGAGTGGGTGGCCTTCAAAGAATGTGACAAGAGAATCAGGTTGCAGCCAAAGCATTCATGTTGCAACGGACTTACTCGTTCGTCACGCGTATCCAAAAATATGTGTGCCCAAGGTGTGGAACGGACGACTATGGAACGTAAACATCGGAATAGGCGCTAAGCTCGCGCTTAGTCGTGATTCTTGCCCGTGTAGGTGTTGTGAATACTTGCTGTGTGCATGAGTCGTTGATTTTTCTGGCAACCTCGTGACTATTAAACTTGAGCGCCCAAAAACACAAATGAGCCCGCAGTAGGAACCTCAAACCTACCACAAAAATAAACCTCAGCGGTCCCTTTCTTCAGTCGATTTGCCTTTTCCAAAGAGACTTCACAAGGTACGCGCAAGGATTGCTTAACATCAACACCGGCCAATGCAAAAAGAATCACAAGGCACCCAGCCACCCATATCCCGAACGCAAAACAACATGTGGGACTAGGCGCGCCATTCCGGAAACGGTTCCAAAATTGCTTCAAAATCACAATGTTCCGTCACGTTTTCCACGCAATAAGTCGCAACAAAATCAACTCACATCACAGGCTTCCAATCGAACATTTACCACATCTTGGCTCGCTGTGCTACCAAGCTAGTTCTGTTCTCAGGGGCGGGCCTAGGTCTCTTAAATGAATTGACGTTCAGCAAAAGCCTGGCAGTCCAGGATACTGTCTATCTTGAAACGGCGCCTCCGATCTCTAGCTTCAACCTATCCAAGTTTACTGTGTCTGCTGGAGCGTACGGCGATCATTGGCATGTGGTGCACCGTGGGTGCCGGATGGTGAGCCCGAAATGTATTCGCTGCCAAGATGCTTTCAATGACACAACTTGCTTCAGCTATGGCCTCAAGAGCTTTGACTCGCGTATCCATGCTGTGCTGGCGCGAGAGGAAGAGAGATCTTATTTCGCGAAGCGTAGAATCAAGCTGCCGACGCTTGGTATCCAAGCCTGATTGAAAAGAAGCGGGTGTTCGAAAAGTGTTTCTTCCCGAGAGCGTTGCGAAGGGATCTTCTATGAAATCTTATGCGCAACACATTTGCAGCTACATTTGGGACTTATATGGCTGCATTTGTGTGTATGCTATTCGCACATCTGCAGCTTGCATGCGTGGTCTTCTAGACCTACGGAAGTGGTAGTGCTTTTCCCACTTATATAGCTGCAGTTGTATGCTACAAGTACATCTGCTTGCAGGTCAGGTTGCGCTACGCTAGCAATGCTTTGGTGCTGGCATCGTGCATAGAGTGAACCGTACGTGTGTTCCGCGATGTATCTCGGCTATTTATCTCTTTCTTAGGCGGGGGCCTGGCACAGGGCTTGCGAAACCTGACCTTCTGCAGAGATCGTGCGCGTCGAGCGCTCGAGCGTGAGGCAAAGTGCAAATTCCGGCTGCGCTGGATGAACCCTTTGCAGAAATCGTGTGCGTGTGAAGTGTGCAGACGTATGGTAAAATGCGAATTTCACGGCCGAAGTGTATAACTGTCGTCGAAATTGACGGTGGCAGGTGTCAAAGTGTGCGACAACGAGGGTGGAAGGTGCCAAAGTGCGTAACTTTAAGACTTTCAACTGTGGTAAATACTGAGGAAGATCAACATATATTTATTGGTGCTTATTTAGTGTTTTTTGAGCGTTTTGGATTAGTGATTTTTTAGTGCTACTAGGTGCTGAGCACTGAGTGTGCTGCATACTATATACAAATATAACAATCTCCTTGGTTGCGTGCATTACACACTGGCTGCTGGAAATCCAATTAACAATGATGTCACAGTGATTGTTTAGTTTAGCTGTTCTGAGTAAGATGTGGTGGCTTTTCTCGCTCCATGCAATGTATGTGGTGATTTCCGATGCAGTGTAAGTGTAAGCCTTCGGTCTTGTTGTGTATGTTGTATAATGAATGTATGGTGATTGGCAGTGGTTAAAGCAGCGTTTTTTGGACATTGGCGAGGCGTCATGCCATCTGGTGATGTGTCGGGTTGCAGGGCTTCGTAACGCGGAGAGGCGGTAAGGCGGTGAGCCGATTAACCTCATGATAAGCCCTAGGCTAGGCCCTAGGCCCTTTTTGGCGAAGTCAGCGGTAGAGTAAAGCGTGGAAAAAAAGGCGTGGTGCCACAGGCACGCATCCCTCATGACAGATGCGACAACAACGCACAACCAATGGACATCGGATATCAGTCAGTCAGTCAATCAGGATCGCAAAAAACGCACACACACACACACACACATAAATGAGTTCTTTTTGAAAGGCCTCCTTGCTGACATGGGTGGAAATATTTCTGTTGGAGCGTTGCAAGAATTGAGTCACGCCCAGTAATCATCAATCAGATCGCGGAAACCACGCATTGAAAATTGAAACTCTTCAGGCTTCTCTTCCTCCTCATAAACCATTGCTTCAAGACCTGCGCGACGTGTACCCAGTAAGAGCCAGTCACAAGTCTAGCCAACAGACAACAGCTGACTAGCTCCAAGAACCACTGCCACTACCGCTACCAGACTACCAGACCACCGCCCACCGCAAAAATCACTGGCCCGAATTGGAATCGCTGTGAAATCGCTAGAACACAAAATTTGCCAAATAGAGCCTCCCAAAATCACTAGGAAGAATCACTAGCAAATCACTAGCAAAATTGGAATCACTGCGAAATCACTGGAACAAAAGTTTGCCAAATAGAGCCCCAAAAATCACTAGGACAAACCACCAGGAAATCACTAGAAAATCACTAAATCCTCGAGTTTTAGTGATTTCCTAGTGATTTTTTTGTGGTTTCCTAGTGATTTTCGAGAATCACTAAAAAATCCCTCGGAAATCACTAGGAAGTCACAAAAATCACTAGGAAATCACTAGCACTCGAGGTCTGAGTGATTTTCTAGTGATTTTCGAGAATCCCTCGAAAATCACTAAAACTCGAGGATTTAGTGATTGCCTAGTGATTTTTTAGTGATTTCCTAGTGATTTGGCCTAGTGATTTTGGGAGTCTCTATTTCTTTTGGCCAGTGATTTCGGTAGTGCGACTGATAGTGGCTCTTGGCAACGTGGAGCGCTTAGAAAAAAGACTGGGCATCGCAGGGCCCCTGCTGTGACCTTGGAAACTACAAGGACTACTAGGACGTTTTGATGCAATCAGGCAAGCACGGCATGAAGGAAGCACTAATCCTGTGTTTCTTCAATCGGCCAAAGGAGTGTGTGTGTGTGAGACAGTGAAGTGCTGTGTCTCACGCTTGCTTTTTTCAAATTGGGGCTGCGTCTTTTTTTGACCAAGCTTTAAGTCATCCATGTCGGATGCGTCAGGTGAGCAGGCACCAGGACCAGGACTTACTGTAACCGTAACCGTGATGGCGGGTAACGATTTGTTTGGAAAGACATCTTCCGATTGTTTGGAAGCTTGGTCACTGATGGCGCGCGTGAAAGACCATTCACTCCCCACTGCCCGTGTGCGCGGCCAAGAGTGAAAAGAAAGAGGGATTGCTTCAAAGTGACTCGTTTGAAAAAACAGTTGTGGAGGTTTATATGACTGCAACAAAGTAACAGACAGGCAGCAGCTATCTAGCAGCTAGCAATCAGTTAGCAAACAAACATAAGACACCTCCATATGATGAAGGTCTGGCTGATACCTGGACTTAGGGCTTAAAGGCTCAGGCTTAGGATCAGCTACCCCAGTGCCTGAGTTGCTTTTTGGCGCCAATGTCATCTAATCTAAACTTCATGTTCCATCATTAGACCAAAGTTTTGGATATATCTAATCAACTTCTACTACTGAGTTACCACTGCTGATCAAGTGTATGGACACCTCAGCTTCTATCCAAGAAGCTTGCACGTATCACTACAAAATTACTAATTATAAAGGCTCCAAAATCACTAGGAAAACATTAAAAAAATATACACACCGTTTCCAGAATCTACCACGCCCAGAAAGTCCTAAGCGTAACTGTCACCAAAAACGAATGTGGAGGCTGCCAGAGTATAACTGTCGTCGAAAGGGCAGGTGGAGGTTGCCGACAATGTGCTGTCGTGGAAAACGAAGGTGGAGGTTGCCGACATGTGATCGAAAACGAAGATGGAGCGGTGGAAAGTGCGTGGGTCTGTGAGTCTGTGCCGGCGTGCCGCCGGGAAGCGTGATTGGCAGTGTCCACGGGTCTCATCTTCCTTGGAAAGCGCATTCTGCGCGTCTTGCAGCAACTTGTAGCACACACGCACATCTCTTACTATAAAACTCAAATCTATTTACACACATCTCTTACTTCATAACCTTTCCTTCGACGCTCCCGGGCCATCCGTTGTCTAGTGTTTAGAACAAATCTGCTGCCAGGCGTTGACCATTTTCCGTTTTTAAGTACGCTTGCTTCTTTCGGTTGACCAAGGCCTGGGCAAAGAAGCCAAAGCACTTTCTTGCGTTTGGAATGTGATCGTTGGTTAGAACGCTTGAGGACCTTTGGCCGACAAACTTTGGATTGGAACATCTGTGAGAGGGAGGCCTTTGGTTTCCTGCAAGCCCTCCCGCCGGAAAGGCTTCCGCTCCGCAACCAGACGGAAAACGCAGATCGCCCGCGGCATCGGTTTTTGCCTCACGTCCGCGCTTGTATTTAAATCATTTAAGGCTTAAACTTGAAGCTCAATGGTGAATATAAGATATATATATATATGTATATACATATAGACATTTTGTGTTAGAGTGGTAGAGGGTCTACAACAAGAACGGTCCTTTGCGGCTCATTTTTGACAGCCCTCATGAATCTTGAGTCACATTTGCGGCGGTCGAAATGTGTCGATGGCCCAACCGATGATCTCATTCAAAAACCGGTAGGGCTCTCTTTTTGGACCAGATCTGTGGTTCCAGGGCCTTTCTCTGGAGCTATACTCCTCCAAAAATTGCCCGCTCTCCGTTCTGCAGTATCATTATACGGCGAAGATACGCAGGAATTGATCACACCACCTTGACTTTTGAACTCGTCACGCAGAACTGAGAGCGCAACACGCTTGTCGCTGAACTGCGAAGCGGGAAAAGAATCTTTCTTCAAGGAATCGCAAAAAGACTTCATATCAGTCACGGAAATCAAAGGCAATTCCTTCAGCTTGCTTTACCACTGGGCGCCCGTCAAGATGTTGCCAAACCTTCAAGCAGAAGGAGTCGATGATAGTTGACAGTTCCAACTCCATTGACTAAAGTTTGGCTCTGTGCCTCCAACGTGCTGACAACCTTCTTTTCAACAGATGGCTCTTCCATCACAATGAATTGGCCACCTGGCTGGTCAAGCATTCCTGTTGCTCAACATTGCTGCGGGGTTTTGAATGAATCAGGAACCAGCCGCTTTTGCCTCACAAAGGGCGCCTTTCGAAAAGCAGCCACTTTCCAGTCCAAGGTTCTTCGGTGGTACGGAGACGATCAGCATCATTCTAGGAATCAATTTCTATCTTGCTGGATTGAAAGCTGCGCCTAAATTCTTTTGTTAACAAAGATTGGAATTGCCCATCCTGAATCGTAATATTTCTTAATTTTATTATATATAAATATAATCTTTGACTTTTGATAAATTTTAGATTTCTTAATAATTAATTTATATAAAATTCATAGGCTTTAATTAGCAAATGAAATATATAGCTCCGAAATTTTAATTATTTATATTTTGTGGGAAATTAAATATAATTCTTGGTAAAAAAGAAAATATATTTATATTATCGGGCTTTTAACTATTTGGATTCTATTTTTTATTATTTAGAAAGTATATGAAATTTACGGAGTTTTGGGGCTATTGGTATGTTTTTTAGTTGTTACGTTTAATGAACGTAGTAGGGGATATAATACGTTATTGGGAACGAAGTTATTAGTGAAATGGTATTTGAATTTAAGTTTATAAATTTAAAATATCGATATTAATAAAAGAAATTAAGAAAAATAGCTTTGATTTATTTCCGGAATATTTTTTGGGCACTTTTTATGGTATTTATTTTGGTTTAATTTTTCTATGGAGGTTTTGGGATATAAATTTAATAAATTAATAGGTTTGTAAAATCGGATGTATCGAATAATGTGGTAAAGTTTAGTTACGCTTTTTTGATTATCGGGAATTTTTATTTTAAGGTTGATTATATTGTTATTATTTGTATGTTTTTTTATAATATTTTACTTCATGAATATTTATTTTAATTCGTTTAATGATTTATTAATCCGGATGTATTTTTGTTAACTTTTATTATTTAATTTAGATTTTAAATATATTAAATAAAATACGGGATTAATTATTTTTGATTTAATTAATGATGAAAGTGAATATCGTTATAAATATATGAACGAAGACGATTTTATAATTTCTTTATTTTTTGGATTATCGTATACCTTTTTATCGATGATTCGCTTTGGTTATTTAATGCTAGTTTCCGCAATAGAAAACATCGATGTATAATATTTTTTAAATTATATTTTTGTTTCTAAGCAAGATTTTATTTGCTGTTAATCCGATTGATTTAAATAAGCGGAGGGTATCTTAAAAATAATTGTTAATTATACATTATATCGCTTTGAAATCTTTATATATACTAATTAAATCGATATATTTAATTTTTTGAAGTAATTTATTGTTTTAATGAAACAGATAAATTTAAATAATAATGAATAAATAAAAAAATAAAATTGATTGAAAGAGAATTTTTAATATATTAATTGCTTATTACGAAATATAGTATTAATGCTTCTATTAATCGTCCGTAATTTTGTTGGATAATATAAAAAGAATTTGGTAATGGGGCTAGAAGCCCCTAGAACCTAGGCAGACTTATTTAGGGATTGTCTTCGAGATGTTGATACAACCGCACAGTAGGGTTATTCTTTGCATCTACATTGGCGAAGCATGGCATTAGTGGACAAATATTAGGCCTGAGGAATTAGGTGGTATTTATGTGCTAGGTGTCCCCCAGTCGGCTGCATAATAGGATACTGAATTCCGATTAGCGGCTCATACACTTGTTGGGCAACCCTTGCGCTCGTTGGCAACATCAAACTCCACCGAAGAGGCACTGTAGCCACCGATCTCCAATTGGCCAGACGGCCATGCAGGGACTGCATGACTAGCAAGTTGGTGTGGCCAATGGCGAGACTCTACATCTCCAACAAGCAAGTGAACCGTTTCGTCCGCACAATCCTCGGGCGGTGGGTTCCGGAAAGAGCACTTCGAGGCACTTACTTTGGTGATATCCCAACTGAGATGAATCGTTCATATATTGCGGACCTACTCCGCATCAGGGAAGCCTTTGCTGCGCCGCTGGCGAACCTGTTTGTCTTTGTTAAGTAGGTCATAAATCGTGTTCCTTTATACCCCAAAAGCAGCTTAGTGCGCTAAAAGTTGCTATCCAGGTTGTAGAACATCCGAAAGACAACAACCCAACAAACAAACAAAACCCCACAAAACAAAACCAAAACGCCACCAACACCAGAAAAGGAGAAACCTGCTGCGCAACTCATTGAGCCATGTCAGAAAAGTGAAGAAGGTGAAACAGGGCGACAAATTTAGCACGGCGCTCAGCAGTTTAATGTGGCAAGGGACTCGAAGCTGTGGACCGGTTGCTCTGGGGCGACGAAGGCTGAGCCCTTTACCAACGCAGGAGCGGACACCAATGATTTCTTGGCCCTTACAACTACCCGGGAAGAAGCTACGAATCCCTTCCTTATTGCAGGCAAGAAGGCCAATGCAAAAAACTGCAGTCAAAGTTGCAGGTGCCAGGGCCAAACACTGCATCGTTCCTTATCCACGGGGTGTTAACCTTCCTCAGGAAAGAAAGGGCACAACCTGGATTATGACTAGGAGTGTTTCACACGAGCAAATGTGGCATACAGCCGAGGCACCGACCTCACCATCCTAGCCTGTCGTCTGAACATGCAAGGGATGGCCGGGGCCCTGCAGTTTCCTGCGGCCCTTTTGCATGGTGTCCAAACGATATAAACTTATGACAACAAAGAACCCACTATTCGATGCCCACTGAACCTTACAGCCAGACAGGTGGCCCAAGCCACGCTAGCCTTCCAGCAGGCGCTTCTGCCCCACCCACTGTGGTTAGGCCCGCTACCGGTCTGTCTCGCAGAATACCATCAAGGCAAGGTCAGGCGCTTACGTCTCGTCTTAGCTGCTCTGACGCACATGACCAAGGCGGAAATTGCTGGCCTGCGAGAAGGGCCCCACCTGCCTGGTGGTGCGGTCTTGACTAGCCATTCCGGTTTTGGCAAGCATCCAAAGCATACCCATAAACAAGCCCGTGCATGACCGTGCGGCCAGGAAGGTGTGGCCCGTCCTGCAGGCTAGATATTTCTGTTTGTCAAATGCGACTGAATAACTCAGACAAGACGTAAGTATTTCACCTTGCCCTCATGATGTTCTGCTAGACAGACAAGGAGAGGGCCAACCCATAGTTCGGGCGGCGAGAGCGCCTGCTGGAAAGTAGCAATGGCTTATTTCCTTGGATTACTGTGAGGACAAGTGAGCCACAGATCGTTGTTGGCTCTCTGCCGTCATAGGTGTATATGGTTTGAATGCCATGTAAGAGGGTAGCTAGAACTTGCAGGGCATTCCTTGCGTGTTCAAAGGGCAGGCAAGGATGGTGAAGTTTGTGGCTTCACTATATGCCGGCACCAATATTGGCGCTATATATACACAGCAATTGGCGAGGGCCTCTAACCTACCAATAATGGCCTTCAACCTACTAATGCGATGCGGTACAGTGTATGCGTGTGTGTGTGCGTTAACCTTTGTTTCTAAGTTTTGTACCCAACACCCTGTGGCCATGGATGTAACATGAATCATGGACTCAATTGGTGTGCACCCCCTGTTCTGGCAGGATGGCCTGTTGGTGTTTCTCTCAGGGTGCTGTACTTTCAACAACCAACGTAGACGCGAAAATGCAGATGCAGCAAAAGAGAGCAGGACGAATCCAATGAAAAAGGTGTAGATGCGCTTACCTCCTTGCAAACTGTCATCATGTCTTTCGTGCGAGGAGCACGGAGACCAGACGCCACCCACCAATGACCTCTTCCTATTACATAGTTGTGTGCCAAAGCAGACTTCTCGTCAAAGGCGGAAGCTCAAGCTGTACTTTTGCGCAACTTTCGGGCAGCCGGCAGCAAGCCAGACACATGTGCACAATTGCTTTTACTTATCTCGACCAAGGTGACCTGTGCAGAACCTGCACAGAAAGCTCCTGGACTCGTGCAAAAATCAGAAGCAGATGAAGCAAGGATGAGAACATTGTAGAGGAGCCCACCTATGGCGTTGCGCAAGGATATGGGTGTTTTGTCATACGCTTTACTAGACCAGCAAGTGCGCTGGGAAACTTTGAGCAAGGAGACGTCCAAGCAGCAAACTGGCTGAACTCAGCACTATTCCTGTATCACACAGCAAGCAAAACTCCAGTTCCGAGCACACCGTGAAGCCATTGGCTCAAACAGGAACCTGAGGTCGTAACCGACCTAAAACGTCTGGCTGACCGCTCGCTCGTTACTGCCCTGCAGAGCCCGAAGCCGCCCGAGCGTTCAGCAAGTGGCTGAAAGCAACGTACGAGTACTGTAGGTAAGCTAGCGCATTTGTCTACTGTCAAAACATCGTTACATAACGTTTTAAAAGTAATTTTTTTGAAATGTA